TGGAGCCTTTTTTATTCTTGTCATTTTATTGTTTGACCGGCACTTGCTGCTTCAGTAGTACTCAATTTCACTGAGAACTGCACTCCTGATACTTTATCACCTTACTTGGATGGAATTGTTAGCAAATTGCTTGTGTTGCTTCAGGTACCATAAAGTTTCATTTCTTTCATTTCATTTTTTATTATTGCTATTTAGGGAAGATGACCAAGTTTTTTTGGTTGTTACATTTAGAATGGGAAGCAGATGGTGCAAGAAGGGGCATTGACAGCTTTAGCGCCAGTTGCTGATTCATCTCAGGTAAAAAAATCATTAGGGAGATTTTTTTTTGTGGGGGGTATTATCTTGGACTTCCTTTGATGTTGCATATTTAGTAGGAGCACTTCCAAAAATATTATGATGCTGTCATGCCATATCTTAAAGCTATTTTGATGAATGCCACTGACAAGGCAAATAGAACTTAATATAACCCTTTCTATTAAGAAAGATGTCATCTAATAGAATAAAAATAAAATTATGAAAATATTCACTATTATCTTGCAATCTTTAGATCTTTTTCATGAATCACCATTCTAATGTTTTGTTGGAGAATAATTTCTAAAATAATTGCTTGAAGCAGGTTAAGATTATAAGTATATTGATGAATTGTATTTGGTCTTTTGAGCAAATTAAGTTTTACATCTCAAAATGGCAAGTTAATGGTGACACTCTCAATAGAGAGATGACTCATGCTCAGGATGGAACCTATTATTCAGCTTTTTTCTATGCATCGTAGCGCCCATTCTCACAAAAGTGTAGATCCATATTTGATACACTCGTCTCCATATTTCGACAAATAAGGCATTCTGCAATGCCCAGGTATAATTACGACCAGTCATGTATGTTTGATTTCCAATGAATGATTAGTTTTCTGATCAAAAGACAACTTTACAGTGTTTCATATTTTGTCTTTTTTACAGTGTTTTCTCGAGATATGGGATCCACGGGTTTCCTGCCTTTGTATTGACCAGCAGAACAACAAGCGTAAGGTATCATGGATTGAAAGATCTTGATTCCTCGGTATATTTCTACAGAGAACTTACAGGTGATTCTATTAAAAAAATGAAAAAAATAACAATTTTGTCATCTATTTTTGAGTTAATAAGCACAATGATGTGTTTTCTGATTTTTTTCATTAATTATTCTTAAGCTTTCCATTACTTCTTTCTCGTCTATACTTGGATTCTTTCAGAGTTTTAAGTTGCCAAATTTTTTTTATTTTTTTCACTCATTGAATGACTTAATGGTATAATAGCATGCAATCAGACTATTTATTCAGTGAAAATATATATTGTATGATTGATGATGCAAATAATTTTAAAAATATATTCATTTTTCCTTTTCTTCTTTATGATCTGCTTGTTTCCTGCTACTAAATAGGAGCAAACATGAAGAACAAGGGAATCATGAATAAATCAAGAAGAGAGTCTGGCATTTCTTCCTTGCCACCTGAGTTTTTAGAGAGAATTTTATTAGAAGCTCTTATAACCTCTCCAACACCTATCAGAGATATTTGATATTTCAAACAAACGTAAGTATTATTTTTAAAAAAATATCATTACTTATTAATTAAGATTA